ACAAGATCTTCCTCAAGAAACTGGAACAGCGCCAATGGTACAACATGCTCAAAGAATAGTACACCCTTCTCTTGTAGCAACTACTACTCCTGGAGCATCTATTCAGGAGGGAATTGCTCATTTGCGGTCTGAACTGCCAAGCAGTTGGGCTTGTACAATCCTGTGCCATGCGGCACTTTCCATTTTGTTCAAACTCCACCTTCTCACGCTGTGCTGCCTTTCTTTATTTTTAGCTACAAAGTATCTCACGCAGTGGAGCTGGTTACACGGGCTGCGCCCTATAACATCATCAGCCACTGCTTCCATCAACTGTATAGTACACATGTACAAACAATCTGTAGTAGTATAAATACCCAATAGAAACAGGAGACTCCTCAGCGAGTCCTCCTGTTGTTTACCCACAACTCAGTCCTATCTAAAGGGTAACCACTCCCCTCACTTCCTTATAGCTTTGCCTGAGTTGTGCGCCAGAGTATATAAACTCTTGGTTGTAACAGATACCCAGAGCTGCTGAAACCAAGGGTAGGAAAGTAGCTTGTCAGCATCTGACGTCTTTTCCGCTATAATTTTTTAATAACCACGTCTACATTCTTGATTGTCATGCACCCATGTTATTTAAGATGGCAATGATCTTTCAGTTGCCAACACTGGATTTTATGTCACAAATGTAAATGGTCTTTGGATGTCTATGCCATTGTATGAGTCTGAATCACTTTTAGCTCCCTGTTCAAGGTTCAATACTGGTGAGATTATATCCACTAACTCATATCTTAGTCAATCAGGAAGCCCATACCCCGCAGGTATGGCGGCTATGTGTTGTTTAGGACCACAATTATTTGTATCTTCCTCGTTGTCTTGTTGATAAAGTGTTTGATATGGGATAGCTACCAAAGCTTCTTTATCCTAGGGTTACCGGAAGTTTACAACCTAAGCTGGACAACATTTAATAACCTAGTTTGTTCGTGGGGTGGAAGTTAATTATCCCTTTTGTTGTGAGTATGTCGATAGTCCTTGTGCTCTGGAAGACTAATGTGACAATGGTAGATATGTCCTTGGTGATATAAAGGACAAGTGGTAGTATGTGAATAGAAGTATGAGGGTACGTGTGAGTTTGAAGTGTTATGTGACTAGCTTCAAGATATAGCCAACACTAGGTGTGACAATGATAGTCCTCACTTGTTGAGAGACTAATCGAATAAAGATAATAGTATCCTACACTTGATAAAGGACAAACTACAATACACTGATGGTCAATAGCAGGGTGAAGCAATACTTGACCTTGACTATGCTTTAGTGACTGACTGCAGATGAGCTTACACCAGATCAATAGATGACTGATATAAGTTTGAGATGAACTATAGAATACTAGAGCTACTTGTGGCAAATAATAAATAATCACAACAAGTAATCATGCTTGGACTACTGTTATCTGTGACAGACGTGACTTGACAACTAAGCTTCCTAGGGTGGGCAATACCTCTTATATGCGTCCTATGCGAAAGCTAGTTGACTTCTGAGTGGTTGTCCACTTATGTGGGGACTGCTTCTAAGTATAAGCTTTTTTTTTTTATTAGGTGGAAAGTTGGCCTCTTATATACCTTTGGCTATAGGGGCTCCTTCTTAGTTGGTAATTACAAATGGTAGTACCAAAATATCTAATGGAAATTCAAAAGGCCAAAATCATCTATTGGGAATCTAGATGATTGTAGAGTGGTCTTTTTGAGACTAAGAATAGAAAAGTAATTTGAAAATGTGGAGCAAAATATGACTCAGTCAGGCACAGTATTCTATTTATAAGAAACAAATGCCAATTCAGCCTTCTCCACAGTAAAACAAGAATTTTTGGAGAATTTCCTTATTTGGAAGCCCTCCAAAAGTATTCAGACTGATAGGGGCATGAAAGTATTACCTACTCCCCAAAAACCGAAGTGATTGGTGAAGTAGTTATTGAGAAAAAGGCAGATTATGTCATGGGAAATTCACTTTCCCTTTCAGAAACTGACCATGTGCAAGCCATGTGGTCAGATTTCAGTGTGGCTGCCAGTGGCTGACAGTAAGCGTGATACAAGCATTTTTGTTTGGCTTATATCTCCAAAACTAGCGGTCATCAAAATATAAAACTTTGTGACATAGTACTTTGGAATGTGTGCTTTAAGATGAGGTACTTTTTGCGGGGTACAATATGTCGTGGATTGCCATGTCCATACATGAAACATTTTTCATGTATGACACCGTATGTATTGTTCTGATAAAAGCATAGCTAGTCAGTTGATATTACCGTTCAGCTTCTACCCCTGATTGCACCATGCAGTGAGTTTGTATGCATCAGCAGTGATCAATTAATCGATGTTTCTAATCTAGTCTGTTCACTGGTTGCTGTAGCACACATAGCAAAACCAGGCGCAACAATTCTGGAGTCAAGTGTACTCCCATTTGCAACGACCAATTGAGCTATGGACTTGACAGTCAATGTAGTGGCTGCTAGCAGTATAGTGTATTGTCTCTGGCAAGTGAACAGGAAATATTGTACATTCAAAGGACACACATACAAAACTACCATTTCAATGATTATTGAGTCAGGAAAGGGAAAGGTGGTGGTAGGGATTACCAGGGGTGTAAAGGATCTGCAGAGGAAGAGCATAGAGGAATGGTGCAAGCGGTGCAGGCTGGACAAGTCTGCCTGCACCATAAGCAGGAGTAAGCAGACAAAGAAGTGGAGGACGTCCTGCAACAAGTGCGTCTTGGACAACAACACAAGCCTGGGGAGCAAGTCCCGGAACCCCGTGGCCTCAGAGCCAGAAGTGCCAAACCATCCCATCAAGATTGGGCTGCCCCGGGGAGCACCCAAGCTGGTCCAAGAGCCCCATGGAACAACCGGGACCCAATTCACAATCAGGGTCCCCCCACCTTCACAAGCAGTGATCCCGGCTTCTGTTCACCACACTCCCCCACCTCCTGCACGCCTTTAATCCCCTTGTCCCCCTCCACAGGCGCAAGCCCCATCCCAGGAGTCAAGGAGGCCTCCCCGGGTGTCCCATAGAGAACCCAGGGAGATGGATGCCAATGCAATCCATCCCGGCCCGGAGCGGATCGCCAGGATGAGGGGGGCCATCCCTTCTCCTGCCATGGAGGTTTTGGATGCCATGGAAAGGCTGCCATTGCCATCCCCCAGCCCCCTTCCTATTTGTCCCCGGGAGACTGTTGATGCCCCCCTGGACATCACACTCCCTTGACCCAACACTCCCTTTGACTTCCCATTGTTGATGATGAGAACTGTTGTTAGGAAAAAACCACACACAAAACAAACTAACACACAATCCTCCCAGGTTCCATGGAACTTGTTTATGGACTTTGCCTCCTAAAACAGTGGAGTGGTCTGGTTGTTCGTGGGGTGGTACGTATAACGATCCTTCAAAGTAAAACCCAGAGATGTATGGGTGTGGGTTTTGAGGAGGAGGGATAGTTGGAATATGGAAAGATAGGGGCTTTGTGGTGAGTATAGATGAGCACTACCTTGCTAATCGTAGTACAAGGTAGGTTTGAGAATGGCAATGTGATGAGGTGATGAAGTTCCCAGTGATAGCAGGCTCCTGACGCACAGACTGTAGTGCTCAGAAGGACTCTAATTGAAAGGGATGACAATCACTTTCAAAGAAAGTGACGAGTGACGATGACAGCAGTTAACAGTGATAGCAGTGGGAAGTGTTGTGACCACACTGGATCACAAGTAGTAGTGAGTAGTGAACTTGAGATTAGAGAAAAAGTCTTGGAATATATCAATATTGTTTTTGATTTACAATGCAATGCAGCGACTTACCAGAGTTAAATAAGAGAAAGAGCAGCTCTAAACAGCATGATGCAGAGCTGAGCCAAGCTGAAAAAGCGCTCAGAAGCGCGCCAGCATGAGGGGCAGTGATGCAGCAAAGAAGCGACAGCGCAGAGCATCAGCACGGCTGGTACAGGCTAGGTTTTTTGTGTACAATCTGCAAACCAGCCATGGCTGGTTCAGCACAGGAAACTTTTATCTTCATCCTGAACCTGTAAAAGAAAAACAATGATTTTTTTCTTCTTTCATGATGTAGTGCTGCCGCAAAACCTACAAAATAAAAGGAACTATTGTGGTGGTAGCCAAAGCCGACCTGCACCAAGATTTTTGTCTCGTGTTAGGTCAAAGCTGTTCCAAAGCTTCACCGGTGTTCCACATAAAACCGGCAAGCGGATCACTTTGCCATGTTGGGTATATCTTAACAAATTTCCTTGCAGAAATGTTGTAAGAATTCTCAAGACTGTCTTCGTCCTCAGAGTGTTCTGGATTGGACTTATCAGAGCTGACACTTGGGATCCCAGGCACTTCACCAGATTATAATGCTTGTTCAGATTAGTTTCTTGAGTGATGATCTTGAGTCGAGCCTTGTATAGCTAAAATGGATGACATTAACAACAATAAACATTGTAACATGACGAAGTTCTTATCCGTGCCTTTCTAGTACTACGTGAAGATTGTTGCAACATCTCTAGTTGCTTGGGGACTGAAGGATGAGTTACAAAAGAACAATATTCGGATTTCACATGTTTAAGATGTCGGTAAAACAAAAACTCAATGTATTCAATAGTGAGGTATTTGTTAGGGATGGCTGGAAATGGATAAAACCTCAAGTTTTGAACACAGTGTTGGAAATCTTTTGCGAAGATATTGACACAATGACGGTTGAAGGGCAAATTGCAGGATTAAGGCAGGTCAATTCTGAAATTTTGCGGTGTCACCTGGATTCTCCCCGGTGCCAGGCATTCAAAGTGGTCATTCTCTTTATCAGATGGTGGAGGAGCAATTGATGATAAATGCAAATATCCAGATATCTTTAATAACCGTAAAAGATGTGCCTTGGTTTTTTTCTGACGGTGAATCAGATTTTATGATATCAAAGGATTAGTTAGTGCACTACTCACCCAGAAATTAACATGCTCAGACTCGCCTGCATAGGGATCTACACCTACTCGGTGCAAATCTCCCGCTTGAGGCTTAGAACGTACAGAATTTGAAGTAGTGGCAATGGAATGACCCCATTTCTTTGCAAATCCTTGCTATGCCTGCATTGCCTGATGCATTTGCCTCAGTTTCTTAGCACAGGGGCTGTACTCATATCTCAAGTCGATCAACGGCCTCCAACTCCACATTGTTGCTCCTCAACAGCAGTTCACTGAAGGAGTAATTGGTCTATGCCTTATCTTCCTCATGCAAGGTCTCAAGGTCATGTTCAGGTGTGTTGGGTCTGCACATTAGTATCAAATGCTATACAACTTACCTTCTGATTAGAAAGAGATAGGGGAAGCTGTATTCAACTGCCTGCAAAGTGCGAGCTTTAGCGTGCAACCTGAAAACCAAGAATCGAATCAAGTCCGTCGTTTTTGTTAATTCATTTTCCTCATTAGCGTAGTTGCAGGCAGGCATGGGGCACCAAAGTGCACCTCTCTCTTTGTTGGAAGTTAGCCAATTGCAGTACCAACAACAGCAACCTTCAGTGGTGAACAGCTTTGGCGCAAGCAGAAGTAGGATGACCAACAAGAATGTACCAGATATATGGATATTACAAACAGAAGATAAGAAGAGGTTTGTAGATACTTTTTGTCAATTGAATCCCGCAGAAGGGACAATAGAGAGTTTGTATTGCACATCATATTTTATAGCTATTATGCTGACATTTTTTAAAAACAAACAAATATTACAGTGGCACAAGCATAAGGCTTCTTTTCATGACTAGGTGTTCTTGTAGAAAGCCTCCTGCAAATATGGTTGGTTTGTGCAATGAACTGTCCTCTGGTTCACTTGGTCTCATCTCCAGCTGCAGTCAGCTTTTGGACACGCAGAATTGTAACCCATTGGATGAAGATAATTTTTGCGTAGCTATGCATATGATCTCACTTTTACGATCCAGTAGTTTGACATCAATACCCACATGGATACCCCCTGCGCTGTATATCACCTCAAGAAAGCCACTTTCACAACCTTTAACTACGCCAAGCCTGTATATAACTCACTTGGTGCGCACCAGAGTGGAGAGCTGGTTTCAACAGTTAGATATCAAACACACTGGTTATGTTAGGAAGGATTCTCTTATACCCCATTATTAAAGGGGAAGACTCCAATAATAGTGGTAAATTGCATTATGTATGATATCATAATTAAGTAGATCTTTACTGCTGACTTATAAATCTGTCTATCCAGGAACTTGGTTGATCCCAATAAACAAAACATTCTAGATTTGCAATCTATCACAATCATCTTACACCTCGTTGAATCCGCTGCAGCTGGTGAAGTGCTTCCAGAGACGTTGCCTCAGAATATTGTTCTCCGTGACAATGCTTCTGGGAGCCACACAGGGGCCGATAGGTCCAGGATCTAGGATTTGTTAGTTTAGTCCTATCTCCAACCGCCAGATGATGCGCCAAACAGGGTGATATTGCTATCCACTAAAGATATATTGCAACCAATGACCAGTTTGTACCAGGTAATGTCAAATGCTTCAATGTTTTACTGATGTTCATGAATTTTCTGTAGGCTATCCCTGCTCAAGTTGATGCAAGTGTGGATGGAGGAGTAAGCAATCTATTGGCTGCAGTGAGTGAAATGCTGAGTTTCTACTTACCTTTGGTTGAGGCTATCATTGTTAGATATTGAAGGAGCATTCCCGTCATGAGAAGGGAAAGGCTGCTGAAGACAACACTTTGGTAAGTCAGGAATAGAAAAGCCTCAGTCAATATTCTGAATATAATGAATTTTTAGCCACTCCCTACTGTTTGGAGCCAGTGTAAGGACACGTGCAATGAACCAGTTAACAAAATGGGTAGAATGTTTAGTGCAGTGTCTCAACAGTTTGCTGCCCTAACTCAAATATTAAAAGCGGGACATTTCAATGTCCTGGACATTAATAGTTGTGTGCAATGGTACAGCTGTTGTTGTCATAGGCAGTATTTTGGAAGTTGAGTAAACGGGGGTATGCTAAAGTAGCCTCTGTAAATACCGAAAATGTTAATAATGCAGATGTACCACCAATGGTAAAGCTATGCTTGTAGGCCTTTTGGTTTGTTTATCAAGTGTGATTGCCTGTCCTATAGGCTGACTAGGCGCTGACTGAGGCCTGAATTGATGTACTAAGTGGTTTACTGCGCCACTAATTACATTAGATAGCAAGCTGGTTGCGTTAATTGGTGCTGGTGCTACAGGAATAATTGTGCCATCTATGTCCACGGTTGGTGGGCGAGCATTGCAAAAAGTGGAACTTGTCTATGAATTATATATTTGTAAGTACCAATTGAAAGAGTCCTCACAATATACACTCACCTCTACCAGACTATTATCTTTATTTCTTCCTCCTGATGCAACGGGACCAATACTTGACGTAGACAAAGGATTTGGAAACATCTAGGATAATATTTATATATACTGAGCTGACAATGCACCACAGTGGAAACTGCAGTACTTACCTGTAATAATTGGTGCATCATCAATGAACCACGGGGTATTTGGTCTATGCTAACCAGTTGTTGGTTGTGTTTGTGGGAGGTAGGCAGCGCTGAATTGCGGGATGGCAAAGATACAACTTGCCAAACAATCTTCAAAGATAGGCATGCTTTACTGCTTGGAAAACACTTACATTGTTTGTCCTTATCTGTTGCTCTTCTCCTTTGTTTCCTCTTTGTAATTCGGTTGTGGTGAAAATTTGTGCGGTTGAGTTGCTCCCTCCAATACATCGCCATGCTGAGGTAACACTATCAATGAAAGAAGATGAAGCCTAATGACAGTGAGTCTCAGCAGGACTTGGATGAAGGAAGGTAGTCAAATATGCTTACTTGGCTGTCCTCCTTTTGCGTATGGGATCTGTCATCATCTTCTTGACCATTGGTTCTCGCTTTACCTTTGTTTCTGACTTCTTTCAATACAGCCAGGTTGTGTGCCCTGCCAGATGTTGCAAGACCTTGTGAGATCCACTTTCTTTTGGGCGGCTGGGGCGGTGGAGTAGGCGGTTCCTGAATAGCAAGGGGGTTAGTTAGTGACAGTACTATCATAACAAATAGAAACAGAACCTGTTGTAGTGATGATTCCTCTGAGTACCATATTGACTTTGAAGTGTGGAAGCCTTGACGCCAGGAGTCTTCAAAGGGTTTTTTCCCCAATATAGGGCCAACACTTAATTCACCCTCAGCAGGGTGTGGATCATGTGGATCCATTAATATGGGAGATAATCAAATACTCACCTCTTATATTATGATTTGTTATAGATATAGTGTACAGGAGGCGGATCTGCGGAAAGTAAATCTGAATCCAAAATTTGACAACAAGAAACAAAGAAAGACAAACTGTTTCAAGTTAGAAATGCTGAAAAATATGGAAAATGCTCCATCAGGTACCAACGAGGCTCAAATCCACGGTTGAACGATAATACATATATTTGTCATTTGCTAAACCATATCTAAATCAATATATGAGTGTCAGTGAGTTGAAGATGTGGCGAGAGTTGACTTGGCACAAATACTAGAGGTTGCCACGTACCTAATGTGGAAATTGCTAGAGTTGCTCCAAATCAATTGGTACTACATCCGACCTTGAGATTGCCGGTGGTGGCATATACCGAACGATCTATTCACAATCACTGTGCCAGTCGATTTAGCACTTAAGGCCTTTGTTCACACCTACTTACAGCTTATCAAAGTATGCATATAAAGTTCTGCTGTGTACATAACAGATGATGCCATCAATAGTATAGTATACATGTCTTCACGCTATCACTGTTGGTATTTTCCTCCCTCGACTAATTGTCGACTTTTCAGTCTCGAGAGAAGCCCCAGTCCCAATACCAGTAAAGCCACCACCCACAAGTTGTTTGAAACAGATTGGATAGAAACTACGCCACCGTTGCATGAGGAGTGTCCTCTTTCTGAACAAAAAGGTCCACTCCAAGTGCAGTCAAGGGAAGTTCGCCGAGTCATTCAACAGGTAAGTGTTGCATTGCTCTTTTCATTACCATGGTCCATTACAACTATCAGACAAAGAGCGCTTTAGATCACCACTACTCCATGGTGATGTTGTTGTACATGGCAGTGGAACCAATTGAAAATCCATGGGACTAATCGGAAAACACATGAAACTAATCAACCATCAAGTAAGTTAAGTTGAAAATTTTTCGATTTTTTGCCTTACTCTCATGATCCGTTTTAGAATATATAGCTATTAAAACTACTCCACAACATTTTGATGGTGGATATGCTAGACCCGCCCCTTCATTGATACCTGCTCCTTGAGGACCCCTGTTGAAACCTCCGGTGGATATACACTATTCGACGAGCTAAAATGGGATTGGACACTGTATATCCAAATTCAGGTAAGTTTAGATCTTCTTTAGATCAAGTGCCTTAGTCTTACTGCAACTGCGGATCTAGGAAGGTTTGCATGAACTATGCAAGGAGCATTTAGAGATGACTCTCCCTTACCATGAACAGAGCAGTGACACGCATATAACGTTCTTGGCAGCTGTAGCCCTGTCGATCATCGGCTTTCTCATACACCACTAATAAACCATTTTACAGGCTAGACATGGATTTCTGGTACTCAAAGCCTACAAAGGAACATGGCCAGCACGGGATTTTGCTACTATGTACCTCTAAAACACCTCTCACTGCGGGCATTGGCTTATTTAAGCCCAGCTTATATCCTGAAAACATTCAATTTTAGCTTTTTCTAGCCAATCAGAACCCAGAACTCCCATATTTTCAGGATATAAGCTGGGCTTAAACAAGCCAATGTCCGCAGTGTCTTGTTAATAGAGACGGAAGCTCAGATATCCAGTTTCTTGACCATTATTATATAACTGTACATTGGTTATCCAACCGGCTGTAGCTTTTAATATACAATAGTATGAAAGTTTACATGGGAATGATATTGTTTACAGTCACAAAAGTGCAAGTCAATAGTAACCCAATAATGATCCTCCTCATCATTTGATTATGAGATCTTTGGACATTTCTAAGGCCAATATTATAAGATTAAATTTTACCTGAGCAAGGACTCTCACCACATTAGAACTAGATCCACTTGTATCCAATGAGCGTTTAGTTGCCAACCAAGCTTCAGAGGCTTGGTCAGGCTGGAAATGCGAGAACAAGTTTAATAATTGTATGTGGGCCTTGTTCTTGTTCTGTGGTGTCAGCTCCAAAGACAAGGCATTAAATAAATGCCCATGCACTGCACCTCCTGCTGAATGTGCTCAAAAGACTTTTCCAGTTCGCAAATAGAAGCTTTTTCTGCTTGAACTGATGCCCTAGCGCTCATAAGTTGACTGACAAGCGTGTTGGCAGAAATTTGGGTGGATGAAATGTGCTTCAGGTGATTGGCTATATGTTCATGTTGACGTACAACCGCTTTTTCCAATCCTACAATACGGCTCTTGACTTTCTTGACCTTGAGGGCAGCTTGTGCCTCTTTAGTGGCCCGGATAGAGTTGGCTCCACGGATCAAATAGTTATTAGTGCTGGTGCTGATGTTTTATGGTTATCAAGCACACCTCTTCTCCACTTTGTTTTGATCTAAGATGTAGCCAATTTTGACAAACGGAAACTTCAGCAGTCTCATTTCCGAGCGAGCGATGTCATGCACCAAAATTGATTGGTAGCATGGACAGGTGTCAAGAATGAAGCGAATATTCAAAAAGACTTGCCTTTGCGCCACACAGGCACAGTGCCACGTGGAATAGTAATTAATATTGCCTTTTTCAAATCTGTGGCTGATCAGCACCACCTCTATTAGGCAATTCAGTCACGCTCACCTTTGCTTTTCCATTTGGTACTTTCTGCATTTCGGCATTTCGGCAAATTTTCGTGTTGCCACTGGCTACACATTGCATTGCACCCTCGTTTTTGTCGTTTCCTTCACTCCCCTTCCTTTTCTTAGCCCCACCATGGGCCCCTTCCTCTCCTTTTTATTCTCACCTGACGGTCATTTCTGGATCCCCATTTTAGTTCACCTACTTGTCACCTCCACCCTCCTCCTCCTCATCTTCTTTGCTCCCCCACCATTTCTGATGTCACCACTTCCTATCCGCTTCCGTTGCCAATCCGTCAACTACCACGTGCCACTGCTGATATCAGCAAAGCCCCGGCGGCCGGTCCAAATAGGGCAACAGGTCCATCTTCATGACGTCGATCTGCCATCATATACCATCAAAACATTGGTCGCTCATCTTGCCTGGTTGGAGCGTGGGTGGGTAGTTTTTGAGCTGGAGAAGGTTTATCCCCTTGCATCACCCATGTTCATTGCTATCCCATTCACTTGGGTACACTTATCTTTTGTCCATCGTCTTCGCTACAGCTACACCTATCACACGCTGCCTGGGACTCACTTGTTCCAAATTGGAACTACTCCTCTCCCTCCCTCATTTGACTAGGTGGTCCAATATAACCAGTGCATTGGTAAGGCCATGGAACCATCAGATTTGGACTAGGTGGTGGACCGGTGGCTCCAGTTTCTTTTTTTGTCAGAAGAACATTCATTTGCAGTGCAATTATTTTTGATTTTTGATTCATTTTTATGGACGCATATTTTTTTAGAATGCCTGACTGACAATAAAGGAACTGTGTTGATACTGATATTGTTTTTCTTTATCCTCTTTTTACTGCATCTTCCCATTACTTTATGATTTTCTTGCTCTCTTTCTGTTTTTGGACTTTATTTTATGGCTGTACAAACCTGTAATATTACTCACAGCATTCATTGTTCTATCCCTTTCTTTTCCTTTTTTTGACAATCTTATCCTGTACTACCTATGCAGGATTTGTCAGCGTACATTCCTTCCTTCGTGTTCTTTCTCATTCTTTTTGCACAGCTATACTGTGCATACTTTTCTTTCACTATATAAACCCATGTATTTTACCTTGTAAAACAACAAGAACTTGAATTCAGACTTTTTCTCTAATCTCAAGTTCACTACTCACTACTACTTGTGATCCAGTGTGGTCACAACACTTCCCACTGCTATCACTGTTAACTGCTGTCATCGTCACTCGTCACTTTCTTTGAAAGTGATTGTCATCCCTTTCAATTAGAGTCCTTCTGAGCACTACAGTCTGTGCGTCAGGAGCCTGCTATCACTGGGAACTTCATCACCTCATCACATTGCCATTCTCAAACCTACCTTGTACTACGATTAGCAAGGTAGTGCTCATCTATACTCACCACAAAGCCCCTATCTTTCCATATTCCAACTATCCCTCCTCCTCAAAACCCACACCCATACATCTCTGGGTTTTACTTTGAAGGATCGTTATACGTACCACCCCACGAACAACCAGACCACTCCACTGTTTTAGGAGGCAAAGTCCATAAACAAGTTCCATGGAACCTGGGAGGATTGTGTGTTAGTTTGTTTTGTGTGTGGTTTTTTCCTAACAACAGTTCTCATCATCAACAATGGGAAGTCAAAGGGAGTGTTGGGTCAAGGGAGTGTGATGTCCAGGGGGGCATCAACAGTCTCCCGGGGACAAATAGGAAGGGGGCTGGGGGATGGCAATGGCAGCCTTTCCATGGCATCCAAAACCTCCATGGCAGGAGAAGGGATGGCCCCCCTCATCCTGGCGATCCGCTCCGGGCCGGGATGGATTGCATTGGCATCCATCTCCCTGGGTTCTCTATGGGACACCCGGGGAGGCCTCCTTGACTCCTGGGATGGGGCTTGCGCCTGTGGAGGGGGACAAGGGGATTAAAGGCGTGCAGGAGGTGGGGGAGTGTGGTGAACAGAAGCCGGGATCACTGCTTGTGAAGGTGGGGGGACCCTGATTGTGAATTGGGTCCCGGTTGTTCCATGGGGCTCTTGGACCAGCTTGGGTGCTCCCCGGGGCAGCCCAATCTTGATGGGATGGTTTGGCACTTCTGGCTCTGAGGCCACGGGGTTCCGGGACTTGCTCCCCAGGCTTGTGTTGTTGTCCAAGACGCACTTGTTGCAGGACGTCCTCCACTTCTTTGTCTGCTTACTCCTGCTTATGGTGCAGGCAGACTTGTCCAGCCTGCACCGCTTGCACCATTCCTCTATGCTCTTCCTCTGCAGATCCTTTACACCCCTGGTAATCCCTACCACCACCTTTCCCTTTCCTGACTCAATAATCATTGAAATGGTAGTTTTGTATGTGTGTCCTTTGAATGTACAATATTTCCTGTTCACTTGCCAGAGACAATACACTATACTGCTAGCAGCCACTACATTGACTGTCAAGTCCATAGCTCAATTGGTCGTTGCAAATGGGAGTACACTTGACTCCAGAATTGTTGCGCCTGGTTTTGCTATGTGTGCTACAGCAACCAGTGAACAGACTAGATTAGAAACATCGATTAATTGATCACTGCTGATGCATACAAACTCACTGCATGGTGCAATCAGGGGTAGAAGCTGAACGGTAATATCAACTGACTAGCTATGCTTTTATCAGAACAATACATACGGTGTCATACATGAAAAATGTTTCATGTATGGACATGGCAATCCACGACATATTGTACCCCGCAAAAAGTACCTCATCTTAAAGCACACATTCCAAAGTACTATGTCACAAAGTTTTATATTTTGATGACCGCTAGTTTTGGAGATATAAGCCAAACAAAAATGCTTGTATCACGCTTACTGTCAGCCACTGGCAGCCACACTGAAATCTGACCACATGGCTTGCACATGGTCAGTTTCTGAAAGGGAAAGTGAATTTCCCATGACATAATCTGCCTTTTTCTCAATAACTACTTCACCAATCACTTCGGTTTTTGGGGAGTAGGTAATACTTTCATGCCCCTATCAGTCTGAATACTTTTGGAGGGCTTCCAAATAAGGAAATTCTCCAAAAATTCTTGTTTTACTGTGGAGAAGGCTGAATTGGCATTTGTTTCTTATAAATAGAATACTGTGCCTGACTGAGTCATATTTTGCTCCACATTTTCAAATTACTTTTCTATTCTTAGTCTCAAAAAGACCACTCTACAATCATCTAGATTCCCAATAGATGATTTTGGCCTTTTGAATTTCCATTAGATATTTTGGTACTACCATTTGTAATTACCAACTAAGAAGGAGCCCCTATAGCCAAAAGGTATATAAGGAGGCCAACTTTCCACCTAATAAAAAAAAAAAGCTTATACTTAGAAGCAGTCCCCACATAAGTGGACAACCACTCAGAAGTCAACTAGCTTTCGCCTAGGACGCATATAAGAGGTATTGCCCACCCTAGGAAGCTTAGTTGTCAAGTCACGTCTGTCACAGATAACAGTAGTCCAAGCATGATTACTTGTTGTGATTATTTATTATTTGCCACAAGTAGCTCTAGTATTCTATAGTTCATCTCAAACTTATATCAGTCATCTATTGATCTGGTGTAAGCTCATCTGCAGTCAGTCACTAAAGCATAGTCAAGGTCAAGTATTGCTTCACCCTGCTATTGACCATCAGTGTATTGTAGTTTGTCCTTTATCAAGTGTAGGATACTATTATCTTTATTCGATTAGTCTCTCAACAAGTGAGGACTATCATTGTCACACCTAGTGTTGGCTATATCTTGAAGCTAGTCACATAACACTTCAAACTCACACGTACCCTCATACTTCTATTCACATACTACCACTTGTCCTTTATATCACCAAGGACATATCTACCATTGTCACATTAGTCTTCCAGAGCACAAGGACTATCGACATACTCACAACAAAAGGGATAATTAACTTCCACCCCACGAACAAACTAGGTTATTAAATGTTGTCCAGCTTAGGTTGTAAACTTCCGGTAACCCTAGGATAAAGAAGCTTTGGTAGCTATCCCATATCAAACACTTTATCAACAAGACAACGAGGAAGATACAAATAATTGTGGTCCTAAACAACACATAGCCGCCATACCTGCGGGGTATGGGCTTCCTGATTGACTAAGATATGAGTTAGTGGATATAATCTCACCAGTATTGAACCTTGAACAGGGAGCTAAAAGTGATTCAGACTCATACAATGGCATAGACATCCAAAGACCATTTACATTTGTGACATAAAATCCAGTGTTGGCAACTGAAAGATCATTGCCATCTTAAATAACATGGGTGCATGACAATCAAGAATGTAGACGTGGTTATTAAAAAATTATAGCGGAAAAGACGTCAGATGCTGACAAGCTACTTTCCTACCCTTGGTTTCAGCAGCTCTGGGTATCTGTTACAACCAAGAGTTTATATACTCTGGCGCACAACTCAGGCAAAGCTATAAGGAAGTGAGGGGAGTGGTTACCCTTTAGATAGGACTGAGTTGTGGGTAAACAACAGGAGGACTCGCTGAGGAGTCTCCTGTTTCTATTGGGTATTTATACTACTACAGATTGTTTGTACATGTGTACTATACAGTTGATGGAAGCAGTGGCTGATGATGTTATAGGGCGCAGCCCGTGTAACCAGCTCCACTGCGTGAGATACTTTGTAGCTAAAAATAAAGAAAGGCAGCACAGCGTGAGAAGGTGGAGTTTGAACAAAATGGAAAGTGCCGCATGGCACAGGATTGTACAAGCCCAACTGCTTGGCAGTTCAGACCGCAAATGAGCAATTCCCTCCTGAATAGATGCTCCAGGAGTAGTAGTTGCTACAAGAGAAGGGTGTACTATTCTTTGAGCATGTTGTACCATTGGCGCTGTTCCAGTTTCTTGAGGAAGATCTTGTACTTCAGGTGGTCTAGGATACGAGAACAAGAAGGGGTGTTTATTGATTTGCCGTCCAGAAGTGAGCCTATGCACATATCTTCCGTTTAAAGTAAATTCTAAAACTGGCTGTTGTCTCAAACTTGGAGGCAGATCAAAGCAAATGGCTTGATTAGATGACAAGGCTGATGCAGGGGTGGATTATTCATTCTCCTCGGTTTGTATTGGTGGCATGGCGGGGAGACGTGGAACATATGTTAATATTGCTTGATGGAGGTTGAGTATGAAAGCCATGCTTGTGGACATCCATCAGCATAGTCCCTCTAGCACGTTGTGCTGAGCTCGTGCTCAAATTTAGGTACTGTGCTGGTTCTGTTAGTTGTGGAACTTCTGCAGATTTGTAGAGCTGTATGCTAAAATTATACAAATGGTCTTTCATTTGGAGTCTCCTCAATTCTTTTTTGTCTAAAGACTGCAGCCATTCATTCTGATAGCAATTGCGAGGAAGACCTGGGGGTGCAACGGCTTTTGCATTGACTAGGTGAGAGTGTTTTCTGTGTCTTGGTTGCTGTCCTCGGATTGTTTGATGTCTTATCCTAGGCTCATGTCTGTGTTGTACCCAAGTATCCAGGTTCAGCATCCTGAGTAGTAAATAGGACGTCAATGTGTGGGGCAAGTTTTGAACTGTGGCTATTGTAGCTGCCAGTTGGGCATTGACTCTGAAGCCAAAATTAAGATTCAGTGCCAGACAGGAATTCACGAGCAAAAAAGTTAAATGTTTGAGAGCAGAGAAACTATGTTGTAACATACATGTATCTTATAATATTGGTATGAGTCCAGATGATTCATCATTTACCAACTCACAATGATACCAACCAAGCAACTTGCAGTTGAGTGTGTTGTACGTGGGTGGCATTTTGGCAAAACCGGTGCTGCAGGTGAGATTTTCATGTTCAAGGGTGGATCAGGCTTGAGTCAGACAGTCTCTTGCACGGTCCTGCCCATGGTGTGTGGTTGTACAACCAACACCTGACCCGCTGCAATATTAATTGTAAACATGATGATATACTTTGACAATTAAGAGTGATCATACTACCTACCTCCTTCATGTCAGTTAAATCCTTGATGTTGGTTAGTACATGTCCTCCCAAATTTTCCCTGACTTCATCCCAGGTATCATCAAGTGTACGTTCCCATTGTAGAGAATTTGCACCCCAGAACTCTTCCAAATGTGCATTGAGTATTTCAATCTGGGCGTCATTAAGCTGTACTTCAGGCATGATTAAATGTGGTACTAGTTAAAAGTGAGGTGCGTATTTGAAGACGAGCACTATCTTTTTCTTTTCCATTTGAGTGCAAATTTTCAGTCAATTTAATACCACATTCATCCATTCCAAGCAAATATTTGGCTCTTCTGTCAGATCTGAGCAATGATCTTATCACCTTAACTCCATACTGGGCCTTTGGCTAAGGCCCGGAAAGTGTCAGGTACCTCCCAGCTAATGCCTTCCCTGATATATTGCTTCCATATATGGAAATTTAGTGCCAGGTCCATTGAGTTAATTAGCCTTGTGAGGCCTAGGTGTCATAGAAGCTAACTTAAATTAGAAGCATAGGCTCTATATCAATCACTGCCTTCTATCATAAATATCTTATATGAGCATCTTTAAACTGGCATCTGGTTTAACAACATCATCTCTTCTCCGCAGAACTATTTAGCATGGGCCCGCAGCTCCTCACAATGTTTGGCTCCAGCGTTACAAAGAGTAGATTGGAAGGAGTCTAAAATAAGCAAAGGTGTGAGTACAAAACAAATAAGTGTGAAAGATTGCATATCCCGATCAACTTTGTCAACACCCCATCAAACTCCTCATAAACATGGTATGTTCCCCATCCAGGACATTGACCATTGTGTTTCTCAGCCATTGCTTATACCTCCAAGGAAGGCAAGTCCATTGAGTAAGCACACCTACTATTATTTGTCTGAAATTGGTTTAGTCACAAAATGATTACATGAGACAATGGCTGGATCATTGTTTAGAGTATCTGCAAGTCCTCATGCAGGAAGAGGGGCGGTCCTTGGGACAGACTTGCAGCCTTTGTTTAGTGAGAGAAGGAACTTGGTAATGCACAGAATATTTGGGGAACCCAGAGTATTGCATGTCATGCTGCAGGGATGCTCACCAGAGGTTACCATTTCATAGAGTTGAGCAATGGGTGGGCACACATTTTTAACCTTCTTGGCCTTATAGAGCCGGCTTGGTGATTCATCTGGGCCACGCAGGGAAACCATGCCTGGGGCGTGATGACAACCACAGTGTAGCAGAGGACAACTTGCTGGAGGGTGATTCCAAGGGGGACAATACCCAGGACAATTTTCCATGTGCCCCATCAGACAATGAGGAAGGAGAATTATGGGAAGACAAAGAAGTAATCACAATGGGTGATATGCCCAAAAAGACTGGCTCCACTGACATCAATGGCAACACAATGATGCTTCTGGTAGACAGATCTGGCGTGCATCACCCGCCTGTTAAATGGTGTAGCTGTCTCAATGCTGCTTGCTCGGACGTTCAGCTCTTGTCCAATGGGTTGTACCCAGCAAGTCAGAAGAAGCCCCAAACAGCATTCACCTTTGCTTTACTTGATGACTTCTTAATCAATAACAAGGAATGTAAAACTCCTGCAATGACTTTCTATTCCAAGATACAGCGGGTGACAAACAGTGCATTCCCACACAAGGTCCCAGTGCATCCCTCAGTTCTAGACTTCCCGGGTACCTCAATAATATTCCCCCCTCTAGAATAGATATCAGGAGTTCATGAGGGTGTCCCAGCAGTTGAGATATTTGAAATATATGTGTTGGCATGGATTTGCACACTAACCTGGCTGTCACCCTTCCCTAGGGTCTCTAGCATTGTTTTGCCTGGCTTTCCCTCAGCTGGGTATCAATGTCTTGCTTGATTGGAAGCAGGACCCCCTCAGGCAGTATCACTTGAGGACTTTTGTCATGGACAGAAACTTTAACACAGAGTGCATGAAGTCAAAGAACACCCATGATGATGTTCCATTTGCCGATGGCACAGCATTCTTGACGGCAAACCAACCGTACATGGAGCACCTCAAAATTGCCAAAAAAAAATCAAGTGGGGTCTACTTGTAATGACCATGGAGCTGTAACCTGGCAAACAAGGACAGCACCTTGATGCTACCGGGATTGGTGCTACTGCCTGTGCCTGGCATAGAGTATTTTGCCTGGGTGCTGTAGTAGATCTTCAGAAAGGTGAACAGTGAGTTGCCCACATATTTGTGATTGTGGCAATTGCTCACTCTTTATAGCTAAATGAACATAGACCATTCCCTGTGTCAGTCCTTTTCCTCATTGGCCAGGATTGACTCAGTCATAATCCTCTACAATATAATATGCCAATACGGTAAACAAGAGGGTCCTTGAAAGTCCTTATCTTCAGGTCCCCAGTGGTGTATCCATGTACAAGGGCATTGGATTATTTCATGTGCATGGACATCAAGACATCTGCTTCCCAAGATACGCCCCTAACTTCATCCCCGGGGCTGGGCAGGTTGATGGTGGGATATCAGAAACACTTTGGGCTCCCCTCAATGAAGTCTCTCAAAGCACCCGGGCTATGAGAAAGTCACATAAGCAAGAAATATTGGACAACCACATGGGTGATTCCAATTAGAAGAAGCTTATACAAATGGGTAGGTCCTGGGCTTCAATAACTCACCCATATTCATGACTAAGTGCATGCCTAGTCCCGGCACTTTGCAAGGAGTTCAAAAAGGTTCAACAAGGCTTGCCATCAAGCAAGCTTGCGTTCAAAAACATCAATTCCACTACAGACTCTGAGGACACAGAGGCCTGGATTGCCCAGGAAAAAAAGCACAGCGAAGCCAGCTGCATAAAGAAGACGCCATGGATATATATGAAGTCTCTTTGGCAAAATTACCCAGCAAAGCAGAAATCCAGCTGCATTTATCACAACAGGAAACAAGAAATTGAGTGGTTTGAGGAACTGCTACTTGGTTATTGGTGGGTCTGAAGTAGGAAGAGACTCAGTAAGTCCCCGGGCCCCCGGGATCCCGGGAATATATGCTTTTTTGAATGCTGATTAACTCTACATAACAGGATACGGCCGCAAATGTAGTAAGAGAAAAAGCCATGTACAATAGGTGGATAGAAGAAGATATTCTGGTGCACCTTGAGATGAAGTGGACAGTTCAGTATTTTCAATATCAAGCTAAGTGTTAGAAGGGTTTTTGAGATGCCAATGAAATGGAGGCTAAACCTGGTCATGTAGCATATGCAGAGTGGCAAATCAGGATGTGGGACCAGTTCTCAGAACGGGCAAAGGACTCGTTCCAGAGGCTAGGCATAGTGGTTTGAGGGAACTAGAATGGTGGACCACAATTTAATAGAAACCCGGGGTCCATTATACTATGTCGCTTTTGGATCCCTATTCTAGTTTATTTCCTCGTAACCTCCACCCTCCTCCTACTCATCTTCTTTGCTCCCCCACCATACCTGATGTCACCACTCTCTATCCGCTTCCGTTGCCCATCCATTGACCACCATGTGCCACTGCTGATATCAGCAAAGCCCCTGCGCCTGGTTGGAGCATGGGTGGGTAGTTTTTGAGCTGGAGAAGGTTCATCCCCTTGCATCACCTATGTACATTGCTGTCCCATTCACTTGGATACATTTATCCTTCGTCCATCGTCTTTGCTACAGCTACACCCACCACACGCTGCCTGGGACACACTTGTTCCAGATTGGAACTACTCCCCTCCCTCCCTCATTTGACTAGGTGGTCCAATATAACCAGTTTATTGGTAAGGCCATGGAACCATCAGATTTGGAGTCCGTCCCAGACATCCTTTTGCGTCACTACTGAGCATTCTGTCATAACAAGCGAGGGCGAACATATTTCCTGTGGTATTTCTTATCCTGTACACCCTGAACACCTCCCTCTGGTTATTGATCCACTGTTGTTGTCCATGCCCACTGAGTCCCATATCATAGTACCCACCACAACTGTAAGTACCATTAAAACTTGTTATTCTACTTCTACAACACTCCTACTCATATGTTCTCAAGCAAACCAGTGTAAATAAAGATACAGATTTTCAACCACCCAGCTCTCCTAACCTGTTCTACTCAGCCGTTGGTTCCAGTGCTACACCGCACACACCGCAAATAACACAATTGTGGCCTCATAGCTTGGACCTCACTGTAGCCTCTAGCAGTAGTGGCTTCTCCACAAGTCACCAAGGCCGCAATAGAGTCTTTGGAAAGACTCTGCTGTACGGTCACATCAAAGGCGCTATAAGAGGTGCAGCTGAATGGTGTAAGTAAACTATTTATCCCATCAATTGTTCACTAATAACAGTTATTATGTTAATAGCTAACCTCAGGCCATCCCAAAGCTCATCCAGAATGGCGTCTGCATGATTTTCAAGATTGGTGGAAGATTTAGTAGTCTGTGTAAGTACCACATATTCATTACTCTTCTCTTTGTTGCATCTTTGTCAAAGGCAGAACATATCTCACATGAGACCAATTGTTGGCTTTTTGTGGCCACCCAGCATCCACAAGCTAATGCCCACTTCATCCATTATACATCCCCTTGCATGCATTATGAAGTGAAGGCTGAAACCAACAAGACCATCTACACCTTTTCCACCATCATCAAGAATCTCATTCTTGCACAGCGAGCCGGGGCTCTTGAGTTTGCGCAGAAGTTGTTGGATGCTAATGAACAGGGGATCAAAGCTGATGCTGAATTAGCCAGAAAAGAAGTGTAAATTGCAGAATATAGGTCCCGCTTAGGACTATCTGATGTAGAGTAGAGCCTTGGTGTACGGTACGCAATCAAATTGAATATATTACATGCACAAAACAATATTGTCTGAATTTGGCCTGATATATCTGAGCACATGGTTTTAAAGTTATTTCCAGCTTCTGTGTATATAACGTGTTTAATCCAGTACAACTTGGCTAAATCCTACAAAAAAATCTCTAACCTGGTCCCATAATTCAGAGCTTAATGAGTTTGAGTTAGAGCATGGTGGAGATGGAATCCTAGGCTAGAATGGCCCTCCAGGGTGGGGCACAGGACAAAGCTAGCTCAGAGTATAACTTTGTCTATATTTCACAAAGGCTTCCTGGTATAATCTGTATCTCTTGTATACATTGCCTGAAACACCATTTACGCGGGCTGAGACATCATGCCTAATAAATCACTGATCAGCTGATTGATTTATGGGATATTCAAAAAGCTAGTGCTTACCAAGTATAGAAAATGCCTACTTTCTGTGCCGTACCACCATAATCCACACAATAACCCCGACCCATATGCTGCAGATCCAGCACTCCCTCCAATATGTCAGGCAACAAATACAAAGCTATATAACAAAACACAATGCCTGGTCAAGTCCTTGGTGCAAGGCGATGAAGTAGGGTATGAGAGTTGAAGAGTATCGGTATAAGCGCAAATCCAAACTAATATTGAACTAGAGAATAATACATCGAGTATGTACTTCTTTATATAGTGAACGGCCATGGTCAGACTGAGAAAGGGAAAACTAAGAAAGTAGTCTGACCAGCTAGCTAACCAATAAGAAAAGAAAGAGAAAGTGGTCCGATCTATTGTATTTACTAATTGTATGAGAAAACATATTGGTAATGGGTGTGCAATTGGCTGTATCAGTAAGCCCATGAGAAGGCGCTGACTCAAAACCTTCTTCGCTTATCAATATCTCTCCAAAGTATTCCCAGACATAGCACTGGATCGTTGCTATATCATTTGGATATCTTCTCAAGGGTTTATAACGAATCTCCTTTGTTGTAAGTACGATAGGATGTGAGTGTGAATAGAGAATAAGAAGAAAAAGGATAAAAGTAATAAGACACCTGCTGTGATCTCTAGTCCAAGGGCAAGAGGAGTGACAGGGATTGAGTCTGTTAACCACAACATGACGGGAATGCGATGAGAAAAATTGATTCCTCACACAATAGGCTGGGATGAATAACCACAACAAAGCCAAAACCACAAACATCAGAATATGGCAACAAAACATTAATAAATCACCCACCTCACAAGAAGATTTACTAAGCAATCCTGGACTAATTAACTGGACACTCATCATGCTACAGGAACCTTACCATATTATAGGGTGCAGTCTGTGTGAACAGCTCCACTGCGTGAGAGGCTTGTAGCTAAGAATAAAGAAAAGCAGTGCAGCACGAGAAAGTGGAGTTTGAACAGAATAGAAAGTACTGTATGGCACAGTGTGTGAAAACTATGCTTCTAGGCTTCCTAGGAGCCAAGGGATTCTTAGAATAAAATTCTGAAACAGCATCCTGGGAATTGTCCAGATGGGCTTCTGGTTCCCACATTCTGTCCTTGTATAGCCTTTCCATTAGACTAGGAACCCTAATTGTCCATGCTTCAAGTGTCCATTCACCACCCGTTCAACTTTAATTTCTTCTTCACCTTCCTGGGTGAACACAACCAGTCCGGGCCAGTCTACACTCTGTCCTGGCAGCGGCCCTTTGTAGGGTTTCACACGGCTAATATTGACCGTGGGTACTACTCTCATTCATTTTGGGAGTTCCAGCTCCACCACATTGGGTTTTTGGTTCAAGTTCCAAGCCATTATAAATTACTCCAGATTTCAAAATGGTGCCTAGCATCTTCTAAATAATGCTGCCAGTGCTTTAGTGCTCTAATAATGGCTAGCATCTCCTTGTCATATATTTGATAGTTGTGCTCTGTAGGCAACAAACTATGCAATAAATAGGCACAAGGCCTCCAAAGGTCATTAGGGCATTTGATTGACAAAACAGCCCCAGCAAAATCAGAAGAGTCAGTTTCTAGCCAGAACTCTGTATCTAATCCGGGAAATGCTAATATGGGTGCTGTTGTAAATGCCTGTTTAAGATTATCAAAAGCTTCTTGAGTGCCAAACAACATCCTTTTTTGTGAGATCGTTCAACAATCTCATCATCTTTGCAAAGTTTTCAACAAACCTTTGGTAGAAGTTGCCTAAGCCAAGGAAGGCCCTAACTCCTTTAATGTGAGTATTTTCTGGCCAATTCAATATAGCTTGAACTTTCTTAGGATAGGCAGAAGTGTGCAGCTCATGCTCATTTGGTTTCAACAAGTTAGTTGCTGGTAGACAACAGGAGGACTCGCTGAGTCTTTCCCCATGTATTGCTGTTGTATATATACTGAAATACATGAGGTACTGTACAGTTGTAAATAAAGTTTAAAGTCTGTCGTTCAGCATGTGACCAGTCACATGGTGAGCCTAGACACTGGTCATGTGACTTGGAAAAAGTAAAAGTAAAAGTACAAAAAGGTGAAGCATAAGTAGGTGCTGGTATGTCAATTGTAACAATAATTAGCAAGGTAGTGCTTGTCCATACTCGTCATTAAGCCCCTATCCTCTGTAGTTCAACTATCCCTCCTCCTCAAAACCCACACCCATACATCTCTGGGTTTTACTTTGAAGGATCATCATACGTACCGCCCCACAGACAACCAGACCACTCCACTGTTCTATGAGCCCATACACAAGTTCCGTGGAATCTGGGAGGATTGTGTGTTAGTTTGTTTTGTGTGTGGATTTTTAACTACAACTCTCATCATCAACAGCGCCCCAGTTCACCTTGATCCAGATTTGGAGCTTAATCTACCACTTGGTGAATTTAGCCCAGTCTCCCTCAAAAGTGCCGGGGTCAGCAACAATCTCAACTTTCTTGTTGAATTTCCACTCAACAGTCCCAGTGCTCTGAGCAGCCTGGAGTTCCTTGAGCTGTGCGGTGAGATTTGTAATGTTCTCCCGCATTTGGTAAAGAACAGCATTTACATCCACCATTTGTCCTTGCACCAATATAGCAACTTGTTCTCTTGGTAAAGTAAAAAAAAGGTAACTGGGGGTCCCCACTTGCTATCTGCGGATCAACCTCTTCTTAGCTGGATATTGGATCTCAATCTCCGACTATCCACACTATGGTATTTGAAAGTTTATGTAAAAGGTAATCTGATAAACCCTGGTCCAAATGGTTCTCAGGGGGTGGTCTGCTTGTTAAGCTGTCAACCCTTCTCCAGTTTGACGGAGGCAAGTGCCCTGCCTGGTCAGAACAACGCAAAGAAGAAGCTTGCATACAATTTTCTAACCAACAATGGTTCCACACCACTGTTGAGCTAAGGTACTCCCCTTGACACTGGGGGCCGTGTAATGTTTGTTTTTGATCTCTCTAGCACCTCATCCTGAGGAGCTCACCTGCAGGATTGGGGCTCACACTTTGTTTCTGCTGGCTAGCAAAAGCTCAACACTGGTCTGGCACCAAAGTCTTACTGTTCAAAATAAAACATAGCCGGATATTGAATGGAGATGAGGCTGTGATGCCCAATCACTGTTCAAAAATCCAAGGAGTCCATTGGTGTTCCCGCCTAGAGTGAGTGTTTTATGTTTCATTCCTTTTATGTATCTTATAGTTTGTTTTACAGCCTCCCAGTGGATGGGGGCAGGATTGTGTGAAAACTGGGATAGGATGGATACAGAGAATGTGATATTGGGTCTGGTACCTAGTGATAGGTATATCAGTTTACCAATGGCCACGCAATAAGGTACATTGTTCATTTGGTGTTGTGTTTTCTCTGTTGTAGGCATCTTATCTTTTGACAGGATCATACTTGGTTCCACTGGCATATTGAGAGGTTATCTTGAAGACCAAAATGTTCAAGAATAGAGTCTATGTATGCCATTTGGTTGAGTGAAATGGTGCTTTTTTTCCTGTTACATTTTATTTCAAAGCCTAACAACCATTTGATGTCTCCCAGATCACTTATTTTGTATTCATGTTTGTAGGCAAGATTTGAAGGTAGATATTATGTCTTTTGTTTTGGCTGTGATTGACATGTCGTCTACCAATACTGCAACAATCATGTCTGTGTTGTTTCCTCATCTTATGTATATGGCATGATTGTATTCCGATCAGTGGAAACCCAGGTGCATGAACAATTTGTTCAGTCGGCTGTACCACTTAACACCAGCTTGCTTTAGGCCGTAAATGCTTTTGTTAAGTTTGACAGTTTTGCCATTCAGGTTGTTGTCCAAGGTATTATTGGGGAGCCGCATGTAGACATGTTCATCTAGGTTAGCATTGAGGTAAGCACTTTTTATGTCCTCTATTTCCCAGTCTTTAGAGATTGCATGTGCGAGGACAATTCAATGTGAGCTGAGCCTTGCAACTGCAGAGTAGGTTCCAAGATAATTGATGCCATATTTTTGGCAATGGCCATCAGCTACAAGTCTTACTTTGTATTTCAGGATCTGCCCTTTTTCATCACATTTTATCTTAGTGACAAAATGGCTTCCAATTATGTTTGATCCTGAGGGTGGAGTGGCAAGTTCCCATGTTTGGAGTTTAAGTTGCCTCATTTCATCCTCTATGGCTATGGTTTAGTGCCTGTTGTTCGAATCAGCCTTGTGTTCTTTTCCGGTGAGTGGTTTGTTTCTTGTGACTTGGTTCTTTCGCTGATATGTACCATTTTTGTAGGTAGGTTCAGTGACATTAAGGTAGAAGCTTTGGTGGTTGAGGATTTGATCAATGGGGATTTGATGGTTTGGATGCCGTTGGATATTGTGGTGGTATAGGTAAGTGGCCAAGTTGGTGGTGGAAATTTTATGTTCCGTTCTATACTGATTATTCATTTGTCAGGCCAATACATATGGTATCCTTTGCTCTGAGCATTGTAACCCACAAAATTTGCTTTGCGGGCTCGTGAGTCGAGTTTCCCCACTGATAGATCTTTAATGTATCCTTCACAGCCAAATTCACGTAGGTCTGTGAGGTCGGGTTTTGATCCT